TGATCGTGTGTAATGTAAACGGGTATATACTTTTGATGGATGTATAAAAAAAGACACAAAGCAATATTGTACAAAAGTAGGGCTCCAAAGTTCCGACACCAATAGGCTTCAATCATCGGGAACATAGGTAACGTATAGTTACAGAAATTATGTCAAACATTACTTTAGTCGTTTTAATGTAAAGTATACCTTACGATGTTTTATGTGATTTTGACAAAATATGATATACAGGAAATAACAGGTACGGTTAATTCAGTATCAATGTCATTTATGGTACAGAAAACGCCATTCCTCGTAATAGACATTAATGCATCCGTTTGGAAAGTATTCACACAAAAAGGCGTTTAAAGCATTTAAAACAAATGACCGCATCATGAATGATTGATTATTCGTTCCAGACTTATACATATTAAATAAAAGGATAAACATTGGCATAGCTGCCTTTTAGGTTTTATTCGTTTGAATTTTACATGTACAGACATAATGAGGAATGGCACCAGGGTTTTACTTATATAAATAAGTACTTAATATGTTTACAAGTTGTTCAACAATGGCCAACATATTTATCACTTTAGTCTCTATAAAGACAAAGGCTAATTGAGGGACCATCATACATTGTTGATCTGACGGCCTGATTTATCTCATTCTCTTTAAAAATAGTCTTTTCCATTAAATACCATTTAATTATATTCCTTTTCAAATAGCATTCAAGTACTGGAAAAACACACATAACAAATATCAAGGTTTGATTAAAAAATATTGAAAAAGTAGCGCCTTTAATTTTATTAAGTACAAATATGTAAAACGGACAAGTAGTTCGAAAACTGTTTTCCTAGATTTTAATTTAATTGCTACAGATGTAAATTTTGTAGATCGGAGCGATGTTAAAATCTAGACGAGAAGGTGCTCTAAAACTATTCATATTCATCTTATATGAAAGGGTAGAAAAGAAAGTGAAAATGCCAACAACTTCCGGATTCGAAATCGAACTCGAACTAAACGAGGACAAAAAGTGAACAAAGAAAACCATACCCGGGAATCCTTTAAAAAAAGTCGCAATTGGAATAAGAGAATGCGTTTCAGGAGGAAAGTGAGACAGACAACAAAATATATGAATAGTAAATGTAAATATAACCATGCTTAAACGGAGAATAATAGAACTTGTATAAAATTTTAACAAAGATAATGTTTTCACACAGTTTTACCCAAAGTTGACCATTAAGAAGAGAAAAACGCCGATTTATCTACATCTTAAATTCTATGAAACGACTTTAAAGTATGAACAAAGGAAAAGAATATATTGAGACCGAATAAAGAGTAAAAGGAAAACAGACCTGGTGTTTCGGAAGGGTGAGTATTTTCTGCTTTATCGACGACACACGCATTGTCAATGCTTGTTAATCCAAGTGAATACATTTTAAAAATACTCTCTCAAGTACAACAACATAACCTCCACAATGTTATCATCCTTCAAACATCTGACTTTATATCGCAAAAAACTGAAAAACGGACGACAAAAAATCAAGGTCACTTTGGCAATCTCTCTCTATATATACATACTTCACCATGACCTTCATCGTTCGTCATCTGTAAGGTTCATTGTGTAATATGGCAGGTTTAAATAATCATGTCACTTTTAAGTATATTTCAAGACACGAAAAAAAAACCCACACAAACGCGCAAACAGAGAAAAAAGCCAAGAAATGGCAAATGTCTTAATGTGTTTATTTCTATTTCTAGCATACTGAATATATACCGGCCTCTTATGGCCCGCGTATAATTTTGTTTTATTGAAGTGTTGATTGAGAGAGTGTCGAGCTGAACTGTTCGCCTTTATGACTTGTATCGAGGGACGTTCTTTTCGCCATCAGCCAATCTGTTCGTGCACGTGGATGCTCTAGTCAAATCGCTTTTGCAATTTGCATCCTTCAATCCGCCTATGAACGCTCACTGGTGACGAGAGTAATCTCCCATGGGTGCTCTTGTCATAGCCTTAAATGTCTTGCTCATATCCTTATTGAAGAGAAACATGATGCATGATAAGCTTAATCTACCTAGATATATATAGTTCTCTGTGTCGATGACAATTCAATATGTTCAAAATATGAAATCCATTAAAAAAATCTGAAAGACAAGATTCTCGTCATTAAACATTTTATTTTTTATAAAAAAGGGCATTAGCAGTATTGTGTTGTGTCTATATTCTAAATGTTTCATGAAGCCAATCCATGGAAAAACCGTGTCATCGACACAGGGGACTTCGTGTGACTCGCCTACATTGGATTCCTGCATAAAAGGCAGTACGAATTGTAGAACTTTATTGTATACCTATTATACCGGTATCAGGTGCAATTTGTACAGGTGAGACAACTGGGGACAATAAGAGTGAGTGACACCGAGTAAACCGTTCCTTTCATCCTCGACCGTTGTCAGACAACTTATGAATCTAACAGGAGAATCTGGATAGACTAAGCATTGCTGGAAACCCTGGAATTTTAATTCCTCATTTACAGATATACAAGGTAAGGGTAATTACCTATAGCGCTTGTATATTTCCTGAATACGTTATAACGAGTTAAAGCATATCCTTAATTTGATAGATTGAGACAAATTTTACAGTTCCACGGAATGCGCAAAATGACATCGTGATTTTGTTTTTATCCTTTTAAAGAGGATTTGAATTTAGAATTATTTTAATGCACTAATTCAATAATGCTTAAATTTACTGAGTCCATAAAACAAACACATCACATGTTACGACGGCTGATTAATACTGTGTAAACAATTGGAATGTTATATTTCTTATCATCAAACATTTTCTCATGACATTTTTTTTTCTTTGACTTAAATACTCTAAAATCTAACTTTTTGTCAATTTGGTGTGAACACGGACGATAAGGTGATATGAAAGCATCGTTTCCGGTCCTATGTCAACACGAGACGAAAAGATATTTTTGGTAATACTCAATATATAACTTAGGTTAAACATGTATGATTTCGTAAACTTCCTGTATATTCGGGGACAAAATACAGCCAAATCTACAAATTTGTGAGTTCATGGGCAATATTTTTGTCAACCAATTTTCCTGGTAAATAAATTATTTGACTGATGAAATACATAAGACACAACATACCGAAACATTCGTCTTTCAGTTGGCAATATCTTGTGCCCAATTTATTTACAACATTTTGCAATTAAAAACACATAAACTAAATATATAGATTAACCATTTAATGAAAAATTAACTTTTGTACCACTTATATATACAGGCCAAGGTATTGACAATGTATATATATTATTGACAATACGAAAAATGCCCGTTTAACAACTTCTGTATTATTGCCGGAAAAAAGCTGGTTCAAAAATACAAACACAACATATTTATTAAATAATGATGAGATTTTGGAATGGTATCCATTAATCGTTTCAGATATTCCGTATTGATAAATCACGACATTAGTGATTTCTTTAAGTTTGAAGGGTAACGTCACACAATCTCTAACCATACAGATTAATCACTTTTAAAACAAGCCTTTCCATTGGCTGAACAGTGTTACGCCATTCGTATGGAAATAACACAGATATTGCTACGAAGAGAGTTTCCTTGGGAAAAGTCCCTGGAATTAGAGCGAATCTCTCTAGGGTTGTAATAAGCAATGTAATGCAAATCGTATCTTTTTTATTTCCGTATGATAGCACAAAGAAGGAAACTCCACGGGGACATCGGCAAGTTTGAACTCCGCCAACGTGCAAAGACATTTTCCACATAATCTTTTTCGTTATGTCCAAAGCCGAAGAATATAAAGACTAATGTGATTTTTTTTTACTATGTTTTCCGGCATAAAAGTTAATTTGAATGTATAACATTGATCCTTTTGACCAGAAGCTTCCAAAATACGTGAAAATATCAGAATCGGAAACATTATTCTAAATATGTGCTCGGCATTTACACCTCATGTTATTAGCATGTCCTGGTATCCTGTATCGTTATAATCTGACAATGGTGAGTTTTATCTATCTGTGAATTAGACGTGATACTGGTAAAAGAAATGTGACGTTTATAAACATTGAAGAAACTCAACATGGAATAAATAAACACGACATAATTGAAACTCAACATTCATTTAAGAAACTCAACATTCATTTAAGAAACTCAACATTGAATAAATAAACAAGACATCGATTGAAACTCAACATTCATTTAAGACTCAACATTTATTGACATCCGACGTAATTCACAACCATTTAAGAAACATATTGACAAATTATGACATTTGACGATGAAACAACATTCACTGACAAAATTAAACATTCGTTCACTTATAGCGACAAAAATGAAATTCATTGCAAAAAGCGACATTCATTGTTTCAAATTTTAACTTAAATCTTTAAATGTTTGAAAGGTTTTCAACGCACGTGATAACAATTGGGCAAAATTTATTTCGTTTATAAAACAAAAGCATTTATGGGAGAGTCACAGCAAGAAATCTATTTCATTTGGATGTTGTTAACCGTTCGTCAGAATTATCTAATTACTTTTTTTTAAAGATATATTCATTTAGTAAAAAGCAGGCCAGTCCATATTTGGCAATCTTCGACATGAAATTGTGATTTCGCGCAAGCTGTTCCCTCGCCCGGATGTGAAAATCACGTGTCATTGCTAGCCCTATATAACAATTTATCTGAACCATCACGATAATTATATAATGAAACAAAATTACACACATTTAGGATGGTTGTTAATTACAGATCTCGTTATCTTCATAGTCTATGAAGATACTTGATATTTCATATGATTCCAGCGCGAGAGATTTTTACAAGTATTTGTGCCCATCCCGATAAAATGACGCAGATAACGACTTTACTTAGGGTAAAAAATCACGCTTTTCGCATGCAAGTTATAATTACTGCTCTTTAAAAAGTATCTACTCAATTATTTTACTATCCATACCGATGAAAATTGTAGAAGACACAATATATGAAAATTCTGTACGAGAAACCGCCATGACACACGACTGACTTGCCTGTTGTTTAAAGTAAGTATGTTTGCATGAATTATCGGCTCATGAACGACAGTGACATTTTGAAAAAAAGGTGAGCGTATATTTGATTTGGCTTACTGCTATGCAGCCTAAGAGTAACGGCGTCTGAATTGTGTTGTAGTTTTGGTGCTATATTAGGATAAATCCGACTAAATTGATAAAATTACAGTAGAAAATACTTTTGGCTGACCAATTTTGGTTACAAAAATATACTATATATTGGTATGTCCGTTTCCGTTTCCTACACATAACTATAATCAACTTAACGAAACTAGATTGTTTTAAACTTTATTTTATTTTGGCAGTGACATTTCATTCAAAACATGTTATACAAAAAGGATTCAGAAAGAAGTTATAAACTTATGTTAATCTGTCTCCTTAGAAGTAACAAGCAGGCAGCGACTGATCGAATTTGGGAAAGGGAAAGTGAAAACAGTTTAGGAGAGGGAAATGAAGTAAGGAAAGTGGATAGAATGAGTAGTATAGTATGTATACATTATGTAAGATCGATAAATACAATATGATAAGAAATGCAAGTTCATCCATAGTAACATATGGGTATCTTAATAAATTGTTAATTATGCATGTAGTACTACAAACTGCTGTACTATTAGTTAATACAGACATACACAAACTCATGAAAGTAAAAAGTTTCGCGTATATGGAAACTAGATTAATATGCATAATGACTTCTGGTGTGGTGTGAATACATGAATTAGTGGCATTAAGTTATCTGTAGCTTACAAATATAGTAAATTACGATATTGTCCACAAATGACGTATTGACAAATGCGTGGCTTTGTTGTATAAATGTTGTGATAATGTTCCTTAACGAGAAAATATTTTAGTCTGATTAATTGACCAATCAATGGTTAGCTTATATAAGTGACTAGGTACAAATGACGCACCAATCAATATCTTTGTTACAGGAGTGATGAGGCTAGTGTTCATAGCTACAGTCGTTGCGGTTATTTTACATATGACGTCAGCTTGGCTATTTGACATTGACCAAAAAGGAGTGAACTCAAACATAGTAAGTATATCGCCACCAGATGGCGTTATAACTAACATTTTGTTCTTCGCTATTCCTAAATTCCTTATTTGGCCAAACAAATTTGAGATATTTGGGAGATTAGATATGGATCGTATGATATTTTCATCTAAATACGTGAAACGGTTGATTGATAATTTACAATAAAAAAAACCCTGTCACAAACAGGTTCTTACCGGGGAATTCTATTCATCTCATATGGTAAATCGTAGGGTCCGGAAGTCCCGAAATTTGGGAATGTTACTGTAGAATTATAATTTCGCGGGGATCAATTTTCGTGTGTTTTTTTTTGTTTTTTTTGGTTTGGTTTTTTGTTTTTTGTTTTTTTTTTTTTTTTTCCGAAACATCATTAAGTCGTGGACATTTGACTTCGTGGATAAGTCAATAAAACTGTTCATATTAACTTAAAAACTCGTGGACATATGAATTCATGGATCAGGAATACCCACGAAGTCAACACAAGAAATCCTCCATGAAAATTAATTACTTTACAGTAACCAATAATATACATATACTTACTCCAAAAATGTCTCTTTTTCCTCAGGAAAACTACAACACTAACGATAATCTAAATGATCTGCCTCCTGTTGAGCACAATAAATGTACTAGAAATAAAAGATATTTCATTCTGGTCTTATTCAACACAATTTCATGTGTAGAAGTAACGGAACTACACATATCCTTTACACAAAATTTTGATAATGTCGGCAAAACGGACATACTAAGTCACAATAATAAACATGTCGACATGTTACGGAATCACAATTCAAACACAATGACTAAAGAAAGTACGAGGAGAATAGAATCAGGCCCTGATTGCTGAACAAGCGATAAGAGTTAAACAAACAATCAGATAGCTGCCACCGAACAAACAGAAATGTTAAATGCAAAATTAATATTCAAATTTCTTCATTCTGATCTGATAATGAATGTTCTCGCTTTTGTTTGATTTATGGTTGAAAAAATGGGACCATGTGTGCCGGAAGAGTAAACGTCTTTTACTTCATCGACAACAACCGTTATGTTAGTTCATTTTGTTATAGACAGAAATACATCAATCAATTAAATTCTGACACTAAGATTAAGGATGGTGACGTTTAATATCCATCAACTTTAACAACAAAAATAAAGTGGCGTATACCATTGGAATAAAAGCAAGTTCGTCCGAAAGTTTGCTTTCTCTTCCGGAGCTCATGGTCATGTCAACTTTATGTGTTTTCAAATTTCTTAGCAGATCGTCTTGTTATCGCCTCGTTTTATCGATTTAAAAGTGAAATCGCGATTTTTACTCACACGCCAGGTTTTGACTATTGACGTTGTACATATTTTCACTCTCTTTCAATTTTAGGTTGAATAACTATTTTCTTTAAATATTATTATTCTCTCGTTCAAGTTCATTATCTGTCAGATTTAACATAGAATCAATCATATCGCTGAGTGAAACACTATATAGATTTCGTTGCCAGAAAATATCGCTCTTTGTCTTTTGTTTTTTTGCCAAAGCAAGTACTCTTTTATTGATATTTGTTCTCGTTAATTTTCTCCTTCTGATAGCACAAAATTATACAACAGGTATATAAACAGATCACATAGTGATACAGGTCTCCGTCTGTACCTTTAACAAAACATCTGTCCTTTTCTATCATTCAAAAAGTTAAGATCTAATTATAGAACTCGGTCTATCATTCACGCAGATTTAGTAGTAAATAGCACTTTCATCACTAAATTCATTTTCACTATGTATGTTGTGATATTTATTATTCATCTTCTTAAGGATACGAAACAATCTAATTATGTTGTAAGAAGTATCTTGAATTTGTTGTCGTTTCATATGAGCTTTGTTAGAACTCGTCTCCAAGTTTTAATTTTTACTAATTAAGCTTCGCAAAAAAAAAAAAAACCCAAACCAATCAAAACAGGCTCGTTTCATAAAACTTGTTTTATGAAGTAAAACAGAGTATCTATATCAGACATGATTTTAAAGCATGTGGTATGAAAAATGAAATATGAAATGTTGACATAGAACTATATCATACAGTGTTTTCGACCTTCTAGGACTCGTCAAAAATACTATGGTAATGATGTTTGGAATTCAAATTCGGTTAAACGGATTAATTAATTGTAGGTGGAGACGTCAAATAATACATAATGTGTATTAATGCGTATTTTGATTGTACGACTCACACACAGGTGAATAGTACCTTTCAATTCATATTTAATTTAGATAGAGTAGAACCAAATAACGAATTTCCCTGCATCATACTCCCGTTTCGTCCTTCTAGGACTCTAGCAATTTTGAAACCTAGGAAGCGACAGAGGAAAACCCAAAGTGTCTGAAAGACGTTACATAATTTCGATTTGGAGGTGCACTATCCTCATGTTCGTTATTTTCATACGTTTGATCATTTTAGAATAATGTATGTACATGTGTATATTCTGAAATGTGTTATTTATTCAAATGAAGTAAAACGTAGCCTACAGGTTTTGGTAAACCTCTGCGTTAAAAATCCGCCGGAAGTGTTTACTAATAGTATCTTGAAGATTGTACAAAAAAACACAAAAGAAAAGTACATTTTAATACAAATTTAGAGTGCATTCAAACGAAATAGTGAATTTTATTTACGAAAAATCAAATACCTTTAAAAAAGAAGAAGAGAAGGAAAACAAGAATCATAGTGTAGCACAGTGTGTTGACCAGGGCATCAGGCAACAATCTTCGTCCGCTCTGGGAGTATCAGTTGGTCTATTACCGTCATACGCTTAGTAAATTGATTTCCTTTATTGAATAAACGCCTCCAGTAATGGGTACATCATGTGACATAAACGATATTTCTCTCACTGTAGGGAAATAAAACGACGTTAGAACATGACCTAAAATATTTCCGTGGTTTCAATACTTTGGCATTTTATGACGGTGAATTTATATTAAAACTAAACTGTGTGAGCGAGCATGAATGATTTATGAAACAAATAAAAAATACTGATTCTAAAAATAGTTTATTCTTAAAGGTTAAGATCTCTTTAAAAGGTTTGAAATTTACGAAATAATGGTAATCGTGAACACAGAGACAGGTAAGCGGGTTAAATTTGTAAATCGAGAACAAACATGTTGTGCATGCTAATATTGTTAAAATGATGACAATATCCTGTCACCTGTTATTGGTTGCTCTGTAACGTGAAGCTACTTTTACAAACCTTCATTAATTGGTTGTTACTGAACCATACATTTCGGCCAATTATGAATTACCTCAGCGTCTCCTAGGCATAGTTATCATCTAGTTTGACATTTACCTTTCCGTGATCCATTGTCTAATGATAAAGACACCTGTCCGTGATCCAATGTTTAATGATAAAGACACTCACCTTTCCGTGATCCATTGTTTAATGATAAAGACACCTTTCCGTAATCCATTGTTTAATGATAAAGACACCTTTCCGTAATCCATTGTTTAATGATAAAGACACCTTTCCGTGATCCATTGTTTAATGATAAAGACACTCACCTTTCCGTAATCCATTGTCTAATGATAAAGACACTTACCTGTCCGTGATCCATTGTCTAATGATAAAGACACTTACCTGTCCGTGATCCATTGTCTAATGATAAAGACACTTACCTGTCCGTGATCCATTGTCTAATGATAAAGGCACTTACCTGTCCGTGATCCATTGTCTAATGATAAAGACACTTACCTGTCCGTGAGCCATTGTCTAATGATAAAGACACTTACCTGTCCGTGATCCATTGTCTAATGATAAAGACACTTACCTGTCCGTGATCCATTGTCTAATGATAAAGACACTTACCTGTCCGTGATCCATTGTTTAATGATAAAGACACTTACCTGTCCGTGATCCATTGTCTAATGATAAAGACACTCACCTTTCCGTAATCCATTGTCTAATGATAAAGACACTTACCTGTCCGTGATCCATTGTCTAATGATAAAGACACTTTCCTGTCCGTGATCCATTGTTTAATGATAACATCATTTATCACGAACATTTTAAGCTTAAACATTACTACGGCTATCTGGATTTTAATATTTAATGGTATACTAGGTGATGAGACTTTCCACGAGAGATCCTTGTCACTTTTGCGGTTTGCCGCTACACTGAAGGTCGGCTCTAATGCTTACGGTTTAGACTACAGTCCATATACTTGTCGTTCTTTTAATATTATCTGGCAACCGAAGTTTATGTCATCGATTGAAATCGGATCCCAGATATGCTACCTACCCCTCCCCCCTCCCCCCTCCCCCCTCCCCCTCCCCCTTCTGTTTTTTTGTTTTTGTTTTTTATTTCTGTTATTACGGATTCGAGAGAATGGAACAGCTGATAAAGCCGTTCATTAGTCGCCAACTGTATCTATAAATAAACTCGAATCAAAATTTATTCTCTTGAGTGTCTTTAGTGGCATCTCTTGTCATCAACATCTTATATTAAAATGCCAGACTGTCGATTGCTCTCTTGTGTAAATCCTACATCCTCTTTAAAACGTTAAGCTTTGTTGTAATGGATATCATGTCTATTACAATAAAAGTCTCGAGAAAAAAAAATGTAAAAACAAAACAGAAATTATACACCAGAAATACGCAAGCATTCTATAAATCTCCATAAATACGAGGCTGGTTTGTACAGAGCACGCGTGTATTTTTTTGTTTTTTTGTTCTATATAACAATCCCGTTATTGTCGATGACGCACGGAAGATATCACTCGTTTGGATTCACATGAAATTTATCTTGTGGACGTTTCTTTCAACAAGTGATACGTTCCTTTAAGTTAAGATAACTTGGCTGTAAAATATTTATCGAGCTAATCACATTGAGTTGATCATTTGAGCATGTAAATGGCTTCACTTCCGGTTTCGTTTCCTTATATTTTATTCATTAATAAAGTACAAGAAGAAGACACAAAATAAACAGAGACAAAAGGGATTTTACAGCAAGCTTTCATCTTATGTCAGTCATCTTTCATAAAATTTGTTTTTTTTTCAAATTCTGTTTGTTTACTTCTTTGTCATAAAATCTAAAATAAAATGTTCCGAAATCAAACGATTCAGAACCTTTTCATCCCTTTCTGTGATAAACATTACCAATAACTATCGCAGAATCTTTATAAAATACTTTCTGAAATATCTGAAAGCACCGGCTACCCATCAACATCATAGAAGAATAGTTGTGCTGAAAACTGCACGCGAAAGGGTAGATAACTCGAGCTGACTTAAAAGTTCTGGTGAGAGATACTACCAGTTTTATCAACCTTATTACTAATTTACGTCTATATAGGATAACAGACAACATAGCCGAGGCGTCGAATCCATGGGGGATGGGGAATTGACGGAACCGGAAGAGGAAATACCCCTTATACTGCGCATACTCAGATCAGACGAAAATGACGTTATTGGAACTGTTGCTGGTAAGTTGAAATATTTAGACCATTTTTGTGATTAAATTTTGAAATATTTTCCCTGAAAGATTCTCACAGAGAGTTTTTTTTTTCATTACAGAAAAATGTTTTCTGAACGTCTGATTAAATGGTCCATTGCAATGTGGTATATTTAAGTTCCATGTGAAAATAACTTAAATAAGTTTGAAATCACTTTTGAAGATTTCTCAAATCTGGATAATCCTATGCGGGTTGTACTCCTTTTAGACTTTTAAAAGTGAAGGGAAAATTACGGATGTTTAATATATGATAGATTTCAGAATTATGTTTTTTTAGAGATAATATAAAGAACGATGCTGTTGATTGACAAGTACAAGTATATACTGTGAGATGTATGATGGATATTTGATGACTGGGAAGTTTTATTTGAATTAATACTTGACGGCGTTTAGACAGGATATCTTAGGATATAAATACTACTTTAGTACAAAAGAATAGGATTTAAACATTCTAGTAGTTTACTATTGATGACGTCATTTTGTTGTATTGATGACGTCATTTTGTTGTTTACTTCCAGATTTACACTCGCATGCACTGTCAAACAGGCGAAATTACCGGCAGATGCGACATGCACGTGCTCACTGGAGATCATGACGTCATAAAGATGTCTCGACTTACTAACATTATAATTAAGCTAACGTTTTTGTTGATCTGTGGTTCATACTAATTTAAAACTTGGAAAAAATGTGCTACATTATCAATATTTCACACAAAAATGTCGTTTATGTACTATGAACTTTCGACTAAATTTTTTTTGCTGAATTGATAAGGAATGGCTGTTAGCAGACTGTCATTTCCATCACATGAGTGAACTCTTCTTTTCATTTAGCTTACCTGAAGTAACTGTTGGGTTTTATATGGTTAATAATTTGTGCTGCTTTGAGACTTTTAAGGAAAAGCGGTATTTCTAACTGAAAACAAGACAAGACGAAACAGTACTAGAGTTAGGCTGTTTGGGTTTGCATCATGACAAACTCGGTTGGGATATTCATCATTCATCTTGAGAAAATCAAATGAATAAGAAGTAATTAAGAATACAAATAAAATCCACAGAAACAAAAACACGGTGGACATCTTGTTTCTATTGAATAAATTTGTGAAAAAAGACTAGAATTGTGATTTTGCTGTTGACAAGTCGGGATTCTCTGTGTTGGTTTTACCACAATCGTGCCAAGCAACCCAATATGGTACCAGTAAAACGAACCATCATCACTGTGAATGGTTTATACATCTAAGTATTTAAAATTACGATTTATATGACATAGTACTTGACGTTCCAGCTCTGATTGTTGTGTGCAATTGATTCATTCTATCTTTTTTCTTGATCTCAAAACGTATTTTAAAATACACTGGAACACGGTATAATTTGAAGGAGACGAGCCTATGAAAAATGACATATCGATCAAGAAATTGGTTTACGTCAATTTTTTACCGAAAACAAAACAAAAATAATTTTTAAAAAAAGGAACAAAAATTAATCTATGTAATCGTTATAAAAATAATGGTTTGTTTCGACTCGAATGGTCACAGAAATATGTCACATCAAAATCTGGTTTTATTTCTTTTCATTGAGATGTATTTTAGCCATATTGACACTCCTGTATCATTTTGCATCGCGTCGCCTCTTAATTACCGTTTCTCGTTAATATTCCATGGATCAGCTGTCTCTTATTCTACATAAATGTTGGTGTTCTGTATTCCGGCATGCTGATCTCCTAGAGTTACTTCCCTTCTACCAGATGGTCGAGCAGTAAACTTGACAGCCGGGAATGGTAATTCGGTGACCTACATTTTAAGTAACCTTGTTATCCATTTTCTGGTCTTTATCGCAGATAACATCCCTATTTTGTTACAAGTAATCTACGTTTGCATGTCAAAATAAATTTATTAGAGTGGATGACTGTAATTCCTGCACGACAAACGTCAATTTATCACAGCGAGACGATGTCATTTATAAAATCGTTTGGAGGTTACATATTAAATAGATAACAACATATGTTATTCCTTAAACATTAGTGAAATAACGACCGCATCCAGTCAAGGCTTAAGCTACATATTCTACTAAATACTCCATCACATTATATTTCTGTATTTTACGAACATAATCTGTGTCATCTGATATTATCAACTGAACGAGTCTAAATGACCATTTTGAAAATCCGGAACTCTTTAGTTTAGAGGTAAATATCACAGTAACTTACATGTAGCATTAAAATATAATTTTTTAACATCCTCTTATCGTTAAGCATAAGTCCTAACAATATATTGATAATGATAATATTTCATACGGATTTTATCGTTTTTTATTGAGACAGTGACATGGCACGATTTCCGAACCACGGCCTATATACAAAATATACAATATCGTTTCTGGAAACATGACTACCATTCCAGCTGTGTACTATCGTAAATACATCTTTACTAGTAACACATCTTAAAACATTCCATGCCCAGAAAGATCACGCGTTGTCTAAATCATTTAATTCCATAAAATGATCCCATACAAGAAAACATGTCTTTAAATTATAGATTTTACTTTCGTTTTCCATTTACTTGTTGTTAAAATAACAGGTCACTTGAAAGACACTTGACCCAGGTAATAAAACAACCGTAGACAAAGGCAATACTTATAGAAAGAATGTTTTAGGGAGATCCCAACGGAAACCAAAGAGAAATGGAAAATTAAGTTTTTGATAAAGTTATTAGAGAAAACTGACAAATATTAGTTTTATTTTTGTGCGTATATAGAATAGAAGCAATTATATCGCAAGAATTTTGTGTGACGTCATAATGACGTCATCTTCTCTATCATTACTTAGTGTACCCCCCTCTCTCTCTCTCTCTCTCTCTCTCTCTCTCTCTCTCTCTCTCTCTCTCTCTCTCTTTCTCACGCGAAATGTGGTTTAGGCGGAATTGGCAAGTTTTACTTCGCTGTGGGGAGACCATTTTCTAGTTGGCAGTAGTCGCATTTAACTATCAGATCATTCATCAGATGTTTAACATTGTCAACACTCATTTTATAACATGAAAAGTAATTGAAGTAGCCATTTATAAAGCAAAAAACATTATGAGGAGTCCGAGAATTCTCTCACTATTATATGGGGTGTATATCGGAACCCCTCTCCCAGAAATGAAAGAAAACATTATTGCGAAGAGGACTTACAGAATCACTTTCCCGTGCCAGATCTTAATTAATTTCAAAAGTGCCATGGCTCACAATAATACATACATGGACTTCGTGAATTTGTGAGTTTTACACACTGACGTGGTCTATAGTACACTATGTTCTAATTTTCATATAACTAAATACACATTAGCAAACTTTATTAATACCATAAGTGATTAGTAAAGTTGAGACCTAATACCATACACTCATAAACTACTTGTACTATTTGCCCCATCCTGACAGTTTCTTCTCAATATTTTCTACACCTTACAAAAATTACACTTCCTCTTATACAAGACTTCCCGTAAAATGTCCCATTGGCTATGTAATAGACTTATTTCAATAATCTCCACTTCTCATTAGCATTATCGACCAAACATAAAATTTGACTTTCGATATTAATACTTCACGCCCGTTTTGATATGATCCTTATAATGCCTCGCATCCGCTGTAACCTCTCATAGAATTTCTCATCCACTATACACGTAATACGTTGCTCCAAATGTTTTACTTTATTCAGAATACACTACCAGAAAAGTTTACTTTATTCAAAACAGACTACCAATAAAGTTTGAATTTATTATTTAAAAAAAAACCAAATACATGAATTAATTCACTCCTGATAATCAACATTAAATCATAATGTTCAATATTTGTTTAACCAGCATTGGCAAAATAACTAAATTTTCAGAAAACTTAAAGAATTGTGATTGTTGATTTTAGGATTTGACATCGTAGATATCAAAAAGTTTTCCCTTAATTTTCAAATTGATACTGCTTTAGCAGCAAGCACTAGGTTTTTTCATCTACTATTTTTATTGTATAAGAATTATCTCCTTTGTAAATGTGTAGTTCTAACTTACTTGATATGCATAATTGACCCTTAATCCAGGTTCTACCTTATTCATACGTAATATCATTCTCTATGACAATAATTTTTTCAGAGTTCATCCATCTTAAGCTTAAAACACATCACTCACGGAAATTAGCAGTAAAGTATTCTCAATATTTATATAGTGTATTTTAAAAATATGTGTAAGCTCTTGCATTTTGAACCATGAGGAATTGTGTCACTACTGCGGTATGTTGTGCGATGATTCTATTACATATATTATTTGTCACTGCTATGAAAAATATTGATATTTGAGATGAATTAAGGTGTCACTTATTTAATAATTTGGGCATAAATTTCATGACGTGGTTGAAAAATTTGTCAGACTTTGACTTAGCAAATACTTTCTTGGTGGGTACTTTTAGCTGTGAAAAGTTGAAAGAAGATTTGAAATATTTCAGACTTGTAAATTTAAGATTTCTGTATCAAATATTTAAAATTTCTTTATTACAGTATTATGATTTGCTATGTACATTTAAACAACTCTTTTTTAATGTTGATTGTGTTTTAATTGTATTTATTCTTTTTCATGTAATCTTGGGGGACATAAAAGGAATAATAATAACTTAATAATATAGAAATGAAATCATTCTTTTGATTTGATGTCAACAGGGGAATATCTAAGAATTTTACATGTTTGGAAAAATGTCAAGAAAACATAAAGCTATCTAAAAATTTAGAATTTGTGTATAATGTTGCATTTTTATTGCTGCTAAAAATACATAGCTTCAAGCTGATATCCTTTTGTAGTTTCTGACAACATCAATATTGACAGAGGGGAGATAACTCATAACTAGCCATTACAGTTTTCTTTTCACAACTTTGAAGTGCCATTGTGTATTAAAAATCAATTAATGAAACAAAGACATAAACAAATTTTAAAGTTTTGTGCAAATTTTAAACGCGTAATATTCCAAATTTTGGCAACAATTGAAGTGCGTCACTAGAAAATATAGGGAAATGTTTATACAATAACTGTTAGCTCCAGAAGCACAATGGGTAGTAGTTTCATGTATGAGTTTACTGAAGGTCAGAGGGGAAAATGCACAGATTTAATTTGTTTTCTTCTAGATTTGTATATCCTATTTAAAAAAACCCTTTTGGAATTTTCAATTTGACTGGAAAATATCTAACGTAAAAGCTATTTGTAAGATAAATGTATCTAAATTAGTTATGTGATATTTTGATGGTGACTTGTCAAACCTGTCTGTTATAAAATAAGACATCAAGGTCATTAATCATCTACCTCAGTTAATAGTTCAATTACAGCGTCATGTTGATTTTATTACAAAGAGGAGAATTTTGAAAATGATTTCCATTCTCCCATTGTCATATTGTGGGTTGGAGACCCTGAACACCATGACTGGCAATAATGTCATGATATTCAATGATGAGACCAATTTTCTTGTTTGTAAATGTAAAAAGTCAATGACATAGCTGGAATTTATAGATAATACAGAGGTTCTATAACATGAACAGAAATACAGAGAAAGGCAGAAGAAGATAAAGATAATATTCCTATATAAATTGTAGTGAATTCCTACCCAAGGGGAAATGTGAAACCCTAAGGGCAAGAAATTCACATTTGAGTAAATCCTCTTTAATCCTTCCATCCCTGAAATTTGAATCAATTTGATAAATTTTAGTCACCTGCTTAGAGCTCTATGGGTGGGAGCATATAATTCCTAATTTTATGTAAAATTTTATTAAATTTGGTTCAGGACTAACCAAAAAATCTCCAGCATATCCAAAGTCCAGTTAACATTACAAAGAAACAAAATTCTGTGAAGCGTACAATTGTCTTGCAGGTATGGAAATATGATGTATTTTAGTGTTACTTCAAATACAAGCTTTTCATTGACTATGAATGAGTACTATGACAGTGTAGTGCTAAAACTTAACATGAAGTGGACTAATAAGTGGTCTGTTCACACAGGTGGTCTCTCAATAGAGGTGATCTCTTTACACAGGTGGTCCTCGGTCTAGGCAGAAGGGTCAAAATAAAGAA